GACCTGATGCACTCCCTCATGCCCATCATGCTCATGTAGTCGGCGTACTCGCCCCTCCTCATCAGGAACTGGTTTCCCATGAAGTTGGGGCGGTCGTAGACCATGAAGCAGCCGCTCTCCACCCTGATGGAGTGACACCTGCTCAGGTAGGAGGTGAGCTCGGGGCAGTCGCTGCTGGTCTCATAGTGGCGACCCTGGAAGTTCCTGTCCTCGTAGAAGATGATCTGAAAGGAAGAAGAAGGTTTTTTTTATTAGCAAATCAAAGCTGGATTGCTGTTGTATTTAACATGTGGATGGATGATTCCTGTGGTGCACCCACCCTGCCCATGGTCATGGTGGTTGTGTTTGCTCCTCAGGACTGACTGTGGCTGCTGTGTATTCCTGTCGCTGCTAACCGTTACTTTTATACTTGCTCCATGTGAAAAAGTATGTAGGGTTACTATTGTGCAAAGCCCTGACCCAGCAGCGTGCCATAGAAGCCTACTGAGCAGTCAGGACACTAAAGGGTTATTATCTAGCACTATACCAGTCCGGTGGAAATGCACGTACTGTATACATTGTACTGTATACATGCCGTATTGTTGTCGGACTTACAGCATATAAAGAGAAGCTTCTCTGTCTTCCACAGCGGATGGCATATTTCACTTTAAATCAAAAAGGATGTTGTGGATTCACTCTACACTTATGTAAACACATCAGATTACAAAGCTCAAAGTTAAAAAGCTGAAAATGGTGAAGAACTTCCAAGACGTTAGGACTTATAATGAAAATATAAAGTTATCTGTGATCTACACACTTTTCTGGAGTTTAAACCTGTATTCTGTCGGGCAGCTCTCCATGTTTATTCTTAAACCTGATCTGTGATAAGAGACAAAACCATATGAGTTTGTTCTTCTTTGAGTTTGCTGCCAAACATGAACTCTCGATGTGGTGCAACAGAAAACAGTCACCCGAGTCTTTGTGTTGAAAGTCAAGAGGTTTAGAGGAGGACTTGTTGAAATGACGAGCTGAATGTTTGTCCTTTTTGCTGCTTCTGCTAATACTGATTTAGATTTCTAAGATTTCAGAATTGTACTAGTTTGACACCAGTTACCCAAAACATGGAAGAATGATTGTTTTACCCTTTATGAACCGTAGATGCTCAGTGTAGGTACCAGTATGTGCTCATGACCTCTTTTATTTGACCTTGTTGTCTACATTGCCCACTAACATTGTGGTTAAGGAGCTGTTTCCTAAATCAAACATCTTTTCAGTAGTGAAACTCTCCTCTTGATGAAGTCGTGTGGTGAACAGCGTCCACACATGATTGGTTTTCTGAACATCTCTGTAGATACTCATAGCTGTCAGTGAGCTAAACCTGAGGCTCTGTATATGACACCACTGCAGAACACTTAGCATTCATTTAGCACATCTTCTCCAGTCAAACAGAACACACTGGAAATCCACATCCTCATTCTTCAACTACAAAAAGTCACTTTCACCGCTGGCGTGTCTTTTATTACAGCTGCAGTGACTTGTTGTTATTCTACTTTCAGATGTCACCACTTTAACTCTGACTAGTTGAGACATCTTCAGGTTCGATTCAACGGCCCTAAATTGTCTGTTGTAGATTCCTAAAGTGATTTTGAACTGGTGTAGAATTATAAACTGGAATTATGAGAAGCACAAATGGAACTACGGGTATCTTACATTAAAATTCTGACTTGATAAACGGATGCTGCAGATGTCTGGAGTGATGCTAGAAGCCATTTTACCGCCATGTCAGAGCAGCATGAGGACAAACTTGTAGGTATTTGTGACCACAAGTGTCTCAGGGATGAGCTCTTTCTAGTTCACTGGGTCATTTAACGACAGCAGCTGCCGTCACTCCTGCTGACGCTGTTCAGACGCTCAGCTGGACCAGCATCCAGAGGGAAGTAGTCATCATGTCGTTGGAGATATCTGCAGCTTATTGTGAGAAGTAGAACCAGAATAACAGACGTCTTCAATGTGGTCGAAAATCTCAGACTTAATAAAATGACAGTTTTATAGAAGCAAACTCATTTATTTAATGTTAATCCATATACTCTGGCATTGACGTGCCGCCCACAGATTTGCTTCTGTGTGCTGCATACGACACCTCAGAAGCTTCTGATGTATTAAACTAGCATGTTGTGGTAGCTTAGCGTGCTAAGTGATGCTCAGCTCCATTTAATGTCCAGTCGCTGCTAACTCAGCGCTAACCTGCTCAACATCACGAGTTCTACCTGCTGCTGTGATGAGTCACAGTTATACTGAAATTCTGTTGACATCGATATTTTTAATCGAGGCGTGTTTTTTATTCTTCTTTTCTTTTTGGCTAAAATGCTTTAATTCACTTTAACTGTCTACCCAACACACTCATGTGGGCATCTGTTGTCTTCTCCCCTGGACTCACATTTATTGTATTTTTTTTTTTTTTAAGATTTATTTTTAGGCTTTTCTGCCTTTAATGATAGTTGAAAGTGAACGATAGACAGAGAAACGTGGGGGAATGACATGCAGCAAATGAGCTGCTGGCTGGACTCGAACCCGGACCGGTGCATGGGGGACTATAGCCCCTCTACGTGGGTCGCCCGACCCGCTGAGCTGTCCAGGCGCCCCTATTGTATTTTATTAAAGTCAAGTTCTCATTACCCACATATTCTCATTTCCATATTTTTTTTTGTATCTTCTGTATAACAGCAACTAAAACTCATTCAGACGACACACCAGGCTTCATCAGCTCATCCTACTGCACACGTGTTAAAGATGATCCAGTCATATTTACTGCTGACCTCAACAATAAGTTCTGTTTTTTATTTGATTGATTTTTATGTCTGAAGTTTACCTTTAATATCTAAACCTTTGTTTGCATTTCATACTGTACAACACGACACGATCACACACAGTTTGCCATAATCAGCGAAAAGTAAATGAAGCAGTGAGTTTGCTTTTGTGGAGAAAAACTAATTTTTTAATTGAACATTCGGTAAAACAGTCAGTCGGTTAATTCTCTGCGACACTCTGCATGTTCCAGGGGTCACTGTGCTCTGGAACTAAACCTCTTTGTGCATGTTGAGCAGTGAATTCAGGAAACTTCTGGAAAATCCTTTGAAATTCAATGTTTAATGTTACGAGCATCAAATAACATAACACATTTCATAGGCAAAAAAGAAAAGTCTGTGGAATACAGCAGCTAAAACAGCAGATCCAACGGCTCTTTGGCACTCAGGAGCACCTGGATGCTGATCATTTATACAGTTTTATTTCTAATTGAGCAGCCAAAATGTCGTTCCTGGAAACTAAACCCAAATGATAAGTTCTTTGTAGAGATTTGGACAATTTATTAAACTTTTTTTTTGACATCTTCAAGTCTGTCCCGCCTAACAGGACTCCATGATGCGTCTGATGGATCCGATCCTCATGTCCATGGGGCCCATCCCCATTTCCCTCATGCTCCTGTACTCTCCGGGCCTCAGGTACATCATCCTGCCTCTGAACTGGGGCTGCTCGTACATCAGCCAGTGGCCGTCCATCACCTGAGCAGACTGGCAGTCGGACATGCGGTAACGTTCCTGGATGGAGTCGCAGTCGTCCATCAGCTCAGACATCTGACCGCTGAAGTTCTCCCTCTCGTAGATCCTCATCCTGAACGGACCTCTGTGCTGTGAAACGACAAGACCGTTGCTTTGTGATGAAGAAAGGTTTCCTTTGTTGTGTCCGCCTGATGTTCTAACATTCTTTAAATTAAATGTGCTGTTGGATAAAACCTCTAGTGATTGTTTTCTTTATGCAGTGTTTCGTGCATGGAAACCACTAGCGAGTGTTTTCCACCGTTTGTCGCAAGCAAATAAATGCAAAACAAGTAAAAATGTAGCTTAACAATTTTCACCATGTTGTATTGGAGTAACTTTGTCAATAACAACGGGTTAAACATGCTGTGGTATGGTGCTGGATAGACGGAAACCTCTTGGCTAAAAATGTCTGCAGGAATTTGCATCAGTCTTTTGTATTATAAAAACTTGTAATGAAATTATGTCCACCCAATAAAAGTTATTTCTAATTACTGGTCTTAACCGTCGGAAACTGTCGAAGGCAAGGAAACTCTCCTTACCTTCCTTAACATCACACTAAGCCAATTTAATTATTTATATCAAATACTGAGGGAGTGCAGTTTCGCGTGGTGTATATTAGCCCCAGTGACGTTACTGTAGTACAGGTTTGTTGTTGGTTCTGTTTCTGTCTTTAACGTAACATGAGCAGCGCCTGAGGTGGGTGCTGACGGGGTTTCCTACCATGGGGATCATGCGGCAGGATCGGATGCAGTCACTCATGCTCATGCCCATCAGCCTCTGGTTGTCGGGATACTCGCCCCTCCTCACCAGCATCTGGTGGCCCATGAAGTTGGGGCGCTCGTAGACCATGAAGCAGCCGCTCTCCACCCTGCAGGAGTTACACCTGCTCAGGTAGGAGGTGAGCTCGGGGCAGTCGCTGCTGGTCTCATAGGAGCGGCCCTGGAAGTTCCTGTCCTCGTAGAAGATGATCTGGAAATAAAAACAGCTAAAATTACAATCTGATCGATTATTTATCAGTCAACATTACAGCAGCTAAAAAAAAAGGTCGCTCTCTTACTCTGCCCATTGTGCTGTTCGATCGTTTCCCTGATGCTGCTTTGCCCAGCCAAACCCTCTCTCACTTTTATACCCATCATGATGCCTAAATGATCTATGGAGCCATTGTTTTGAAGGTCTTACTCAGCAGTGTAGCATACAGGGCTATAATGTTTGTTAAATCTCTCTGTAAATGGTTATTATTCCAGACTGTATGCATCTGGTGCAGTGCCAACTGCGGCCGTCCTATGGGAACAGGTGGGTGACAGCAGCCACCCATCAGCTCTTTGTCTGTGGAGACAGACGCTCTGCTACACTCTCATGGTGCACATCAGTCGATCATATAGATGCACAAAACTCTGTTAAAACATCAGATTGTGATTATCAGTCAGGATTTTAGCAGGAATGGTCATTTTTAGACTTTCTTTTCCACCGTTGATCTGATTCCTGCTGTGATCTGTACCAAGCCACCATGTTCCCGTACATCTGGAGACTGTAACGTGTAGGCCAGGACGCCTCTGCAGGGCTTCATCTACAACACATTTTAGCTTCATCAAAAAGTCACAGCTCATGCGACTTTACAACAATTGTTCATACCAACATAAAACTATACATTTGTCTTATGCTTGCGTGTGGGACCTACTGTTCACCCACAAACTAGGAATGTCCCAGTTTTTCAATTGTCTGCCCCCAAGACATTTAACACTTAGTATCTGCCGATGCCAGGTGACAATCTGATAATACACACTT